CAATTCTAACACTTCTATCTTCTTATTCTCATAGATGACAAGTCAAATTCAACTTTCAATTCTCAATATAAACTTTATTTCGATATTTCATTCAAAAACTCCAAATCTTTAAATCCTCATAAACTCTTCATTTTGTTGTTTTAAAGCAAATTAATCCTTCCTTAATCTTATTTAGCATCTAATAATCAAAAATAAACTTAAATTTCAGCACATAATCAGCTCAAGAGAAAACTCACCTTTGCTTGGCTTCACACGTGAAGAAGAGAAAATGAAAAAGAAAAGAGAGAAGAGATTTCTGGAAAAATCTCCCATCCTTATCCATATATATATATATCATTTAATTATAATTTTCAAGTCAAATGACCATTTAACCCTTAATTTCCTTTAATAATTACTAATTAACCTTCATCATATATATCCAATAATCATTGAACTATTTCATTCTTATACTTTAGTCACCAAATTCTGAAACTTTACAATTTGGTCACTAACCCGGTATTACGGATGTTACAAATGAGCTCATCAACAAAGCTTAATAAAGATGAAGGAGGTAAATGTATGGATGTTAAATTATATAGGTCAATGATTGACTCTTTTCTTTATCTAACCACAAGTAGACCAGACATTATATTTAGTGTTTGCTTATGTGCTAGATTTCAATCATGCCCTAAGGAATCACATTTACTAGCTGTAAAAAGAATCTTTAGATACCTTAAGGACACTCCTAGTTTAAGACTTTGGTATCCTAGAGACTCTAGCTTTAGCCTACATGCCTTCTCTGATGTGGATTATGGAGGATGCAAAATAGATAGGAAAAGCACATCCAGTACTTGCCAATTTCTAGGAAATATGCTAATTTCATAGTTTTCAAAGAAACAAAATTATGTTGCATTATCTACCACTGAAGCGGAATACATTTCAGCTGGTAGTTGTTGTGCACAAGTTTTATAGATAAAACAACAACTTTTAGATTATGGAATTAAAGTAGGTACCATACCTATCAAGTGTGACAATACTAGTGCTATTTTTCTCACTAAAAATCCCATCCAATACTCTAGAACTAAACATATTGAAATTAGACATCATTTCATTAGAGATCATGTCGCTAAATAATATATAGTTCTAGAATATGTTGATACTTTTGCATCAATTAGCGGATATTTTTACAAAACCTTTAGATAAAGAAAGATTTTGGACACTTAGGAGAGAATTAGGTTTAACCAACCTACCTTGACTTAGTGTTTAAAATAATTTTAGCACTTTTAATTAGAAATGAAAATGCTTATAAAAATAATATTTTTGATTGCATTTTTTACTATTAGTTAGGGGAGTTTATGATTCTTAGTAAAAAATTAATTATATGTTCAAATAAGTTTTAAGGATAGATTCGATTGATTGAACATTGTTAATTTTTGTGATATGAGATTGTCAATACCACTAGAGCAAATTAATTTAGCAATTTAGGTGTTTAAAATACATATTTTTTAATTTTTTGCGTGCTAGGTATCGATACCCCTTAGCGTTGGTACCGATACCATCCTAGAATGGGTACCGATACCATCCATGGGTTCTGGTTTTTAACACCTAGAACCTCATTTTTCTACAAAACCCTCTCTCTCTAAACTCTCACGCCGTTCACTCTCTATCTCACCCCTAATATCTACATTGCTTGAAATCAACAGTTTCAAGTCGGATTTCACTCAAATTTCAACTCCTAAACCTGCTATCATCATTAATTTCGTGCAAACATCATCAAAATCCACTCAATCTTCATCTTTCAAGGTAATTTTTCTAAAAAAATCTATTTTATTGATTTTTTAAACTTAGGACTAGTTTTGATTAGTTCTAGGTTGAAATAGTGATCGGGCTTTGATTATATAATGCTTCTAAACTAGATTCTACAACTAATTTCATCAAAAACACAGGATTTGATCAAATTTTGTTATTTTTTGAAATAAAAAAATGATTTTCAAATTGTTGTGTTTTGATTTAATTATGTTATATTTGAAAACTATATATATATATATATATATTAATTTTTCAAACATTGTTTTCAAACATAGTTTTCAAAATATGCCCATTGGGATTATATTAGAGAATCTTGATATATTGAGGACTCATTTGAGTTTTGGAAATTGATTATATTGCATACATATGTTTTTAAGATTGCAGGTTATTCTTCTGATTTCTTAATCATGTCTCATAAACGCCCTAGGACATCCTCTAGTTGTTCAAACCGACCACCAAGTCCACCATAAAACCCACATCCTATTCAACAAGTTCCAAATCCCGATGAACCCGAAATGACTATTCACAATTCGTGCTTTAACAAACCTGGTCGTAGACAAAATCTCTTCTTTAGGTATTCTCAGTATTTTGAGTCATACAAAATTCGGGAAGAACGTATTCCTTCTCTTCGAGCTATGGATGCAATAAACTTTAGATATCTTCCTACTCTTCAAGAATGAAAATTTGATAAACTTTTTTATCTCGAACCAGTAGTTTACCAACAACTCGTTCGAATTTTCTATTCAAATGTCGTTTGTATTCAAAATCGAGCTAAAACTGAGACAATAGGAATTTGATCCTATCTTCTAGGTAGATTCATCCATATTAACTCGGCCTACATTGCTAATGCATTTGGATTAGATAATGACGGCTTATATAATGAAAAGGAAACAATAGGTTCTCCTTACAAGGTTAGGTCTAGTGCGAGTGCGTTAGACCACCAAGATCGTTTTCTTCATCTGATGATCTCTTGGTGATTTAGACCATCCGGAGGCAAATACTCCACTTTTCGAGCCTTAGACCTTTGGTGGATACATTGTATCCAAAATAATAGGAAAATTAACCTACCTCAGATTATATTTGTCGAACTCGTTGAAACCGTAAACCTTGTCCCTAATAAAAAGCTTTGTGAAACTCTAGTTTACGGTTGTCTTCTGAGTAACTTGTTTATCAAAGCCGAGCTTAGAGTACAGCTTGATGTAGCCTTCCCTCTCAAAAACCAAATTAACTTGACTTCTTTAAAGAAATCGGGATGGAAAAAGGATACAAAAACAAATCAATGGGTTCGCTCAGTCGAGAAAACTCCTGGAGCTAGTTCCTCACAAGCTCCACCGGCACCGACTGCGGACGATGATCCCGAGCTTCAACAACTAATGCAAGATATTGACGAAGTCGTACCCGACGATACCCGACGGATCAAATGCCTCCATATTTTCAATCTTTTATGGAGACATTCGACTTACGGTATGCATCCATGGATTCACAGTTTACATTCATAGAGTCCCATTTATCTTCTATGGGAGCTCAACAATTGGAAATCCTCCGGGAGATGCACGCGAACAACGAAAGAATGAACGAACGAATCAATGCGCTCACATATGAGATGGCCGCTATGCGAGCTCATTTTCCTCCTCCCGATCCTCCTACTGATGCTTGAACCTTGCTTTGCTTTAGTTTTCTTGAATGAAACTTAGAACTTATTGTTTTTAACATTTTGAATGTTTTGAATTTGTTTTGGATGTTTGAATTTTTATTTATATATATGTTTGATTTATGTTTTACATCATTTACATACAAATATGACCAATTTCCATTACAAATTATGAATATTGAATTATGGAACTAATGTCTAACATTTCTCTTGATTGTGATCTTAGCATCTTAAGCTCTATTTTTGAATATTATTGGCTTTTTGACTTTAAAATGTTTTTACCTTGTTTAAAAAAGTTTTTAGAGCCTTTTTGATTTAACAAAAAGGGAGAGAAGTGCTATAGTAAGGGGATAATTTTACAAAATTGATTTCAAAAATGTTTTGTCAAAGAAAATCTTAAAATTATTCAAATGTTTTGTTATATCAAAAAGAATGAGATTGTTGAAAACATTTTGATGTTTCGATATAACAAATTAAGTATAAATAAATTTTAAGATTTTACAAATCATTTTCAAAAGTATATTCGATTCAATTGTTCGAATATAACTCCAAATTTTTCAAAGTTTAATTTCAATTCTTACTTAAAGTGTAAAATTATGTTTTAATCTCAAAATATTTTTAAAACAAATATTACAAAGTATTTCGAGCCAAAAATTATTTTTAATTCAAGGGATTCACGGAAAAATCAGAATGCTCGGATGGTACTGGTACCCCTGGATGGTATCGATACCCCATGGCAAATTTGGCTCCGAGAAAAACAGAATGTTCGAATAACACCGATACCCCTGGATGGTATCGATACCCCCAGTCATTTAATGGTTAAAATATTTGAATTTTACACTGCAGTTATCGATACCCCGTGTCGAGCTCCTCCAAGGAGACGGTGGCGTCTGAAGTATCAAGAAGGTCACGTTTGCTCAAGGTAATTAAGTGTTCGACATGGTTATGTTCGACATAGTTATCTTACTAGGCTGATAAAAAATGAAGGGTGGGGATCGGATTACTCGAAGCACAAGGTTGATGAAATAGACCGAGACAATTTATCATACGCTTACACCGTGTTCGAAGGCGACGTCTTGAGGAACATACGAAGGTCACGTTTGCTCAAGGTAATTAAGTGTTCGACATGGTTATGTTCGACATAGTTATCTTACTAGGCTGATAAAAAATGAAGGGTGGGGATCGGATTACTCGAAGCACAAGGTTGATGAAATAGACCGAGACAATTTATCATACGCTTACACCGTGTTCGAAGGCGACGTCTTGAGGAACATATACGAGAAAATCAGGTTCGAGACCAAGTTCTTCGGAGCACCGGATGAACGATTTGTAAGATGACAGCCAAGTTCTCTACCATTGGCGATGTCGAGATCAATGAAGAACAAATCAAGGCCGATACCGAGAAGCGAGTCGGAGCTTTCAAGGTTGTTGCAGATTATGTTTTGGCAAATCCAGGTTCCTAAAACTATAAGTAGCTTCAATGGTGTGCATTCATGTGTTTTTTTAAGCAAAAAGTTGTATTTCATTGTGTAGTAAGGGAGATTCAATCTGGAAGTATATATAATTATAATGATTTTAGAGTTAAACCTGATATATAGCTAACACACAGAAGATTACATAAACTGGTGTATAAAGCAAACTAAGAATTAACGGCCCTGCAATTCTTCCTAATCTCTCCATTAGACCCTGTAAGTGGACTGATGTTCCCCATCTTGATCATGGAGTTGACGAAGTCATTTAAGAAAAGCTTCGAATCTTGGCTGTATCTTTCGACTAGGCTTTTCGTCGTCGAAGCCGCCAAATCACTCGAATACAGAATCTGATCCGAGCCTAACAGACCCTTCCCATTGACCAAGTTCTTGAAATAATGGTTGTCGAATAGATCAGTCGAGTTCCGATCGAGAGCGGTGAATCTGTTCCTGTCGCCATTAGCCGGACAGAAGCTTTGCAGATCGGCTAACATGCTCATTTCGATCGTACTGTCGGGTGCACCGGTTCCAGAGAAGTTGAATAACCTGTTGTCGAAGGTGGAACACTTTGCTAATCCAATGGTATGGGCACCTGAAAACAAAAATGTATATTAAGTTCAAATATTTATCGTAATTGATCGTAACATTTCGGTTCGACGTTGGTCATAGTAGGTTACCTGATAATGAAACTACATCAGTTATGTTGAGGCCAACATTGGTGTACTTTTGAATGATTTGATCCAGGGCCTCGAATGGAGAAGGAAGTGCTGCATTCGCTTGTGCCGCGCTAGAAACCGTTCCGTCTCTCCGTCCTAATAAAACTTTCCATGTCGGTCCTCCGCTCTGACGACAATTAATTTCCGATTAAGTAAAAGAAAAGGAATCAATTTGGCTTGAAGTGTGTGTGTGTGTCAACTTACTAATAGAACAGAGTCACGAGAAGCGATGGCTAATATATCAGCGCACGATACAACTCCACTGCACGTGTTCTCTACGGCTGTTTTTATCGCATCAACAACTTCGAATCCTCTTGCTGAGTTCACGTTAGCGGCCGAAAACTTCTCGGTAGTATTGTCTCCGTCCAACAAAACCGAAGCATCACAACCCTGTGAAAAAACAAGGCCTAATTGTTTAATAATCACATTATCGGTTCATAATTAAGAAAAGGTGCTGCATTTTGCTCACATTCACAAAGCAGTCATGGAAATGAAGCCGGAGGAGAGACGCCGCCATTCGCATCTCCGTCTTGATCGCACTTTGAACTTGTCTCCGCACGATTGAAGGAAGAGTCGGACATGTTTTCGAATAGAAATCGGTGGTCAGTTGGGACCTTACACTTGAACAAAGCAGCAAGCTAATCATAAGCATCAGTACTAAGTGGTGGTGTGATGTATGGCGGCTTCTCAGTGCTGCTAGTGCTCACAAAGATGCAGTGAACTTGGTATATATGTATTTGCGTAAACTGAGAGATTAACCCATTTAGTATTGCAAACATTGCAGATATATCCAAGAATCGTGCGTTAATGGTTATCAGATGATCAGATAGCACACAAGGATAGACCGAGGGAGTGTTAGGGGCGGTCGTATTCCGAATTTTTAATATACTTCTTAAAAATTCATACCTCTTATAAAATTCTGTGTTCGGTATCTCCACTCACATATATACTAATGTATGCTTCGCTTTGCATGCAGCAAGTTTCTGTATTAGTGAAAAATCAATAAAGAAGCAGCAAAGTGGTAACTTTCTGGTAGCACTAGGGCGCATGCATGCATTAAAATGGTTGGGACTTTATCTTCCACGAGGATTAGCAATGAGAGAGTGGATTCATATGTGCACGTCGTTGATTTTTCTAATAATGGCAGCAGGTGAGTTGGTTTGCCATATCCTTTAGTGTACCAATTAGAGTTGTAGCTTGACGTTGATGGTGGTTGACCTTATTAGTGCTGTTTAGTCATTAAGCAAACAGGTTATAGTTTAAGATTATTTTTGGCGTATTCATTCGAAATGGAGATTGATTTTGGGTTCGTTGATACATTGAAGAAGATGATGTTTACCAATACTTTGAGCTTAAAATAAGCAAGTTTTATTCGAAATGGACTACCCCAAATCTGTTTAACTTAGGATTAACTATACGGATGGTCACTTATGTTTTGTGTTTTGTCCACTTTTAGTCACCGATTTCAAAAAACATAAAATATGGTCAATTTCGTTTTTATTTTTGAACAAGAAACATTTCATGGGATATATTAAACATGATCAAACAAGGTTCTTTGAGAATCAACGTCTTCGTCAATACATATCCTCTTTAAGAATCTAATTAAAGTATATTAAATCAATCATTTAGAATAAGAATTATATTCAAATAAAAAATATTAATATATAGATTACAATGTCAAACTAAAAGCTGCAAAAACAATCCAACAGTCCAAGCACTTGCATTCAAGGTTTTGATTGCTTAAAATATTAGTCTAGTAGAGTTCTTTTCATTTCAATCTTCTTTCTTGAGTCCCAACATATAATGCTTTCAAGATTCAATAATTTGTTCTTTTGTGGTAAGCTTGATAATGTGTATTGAAGAGATAAGTACAGAAACTCACTATAAATACTGCACTTATATCAGATACATACATCTGAAAACATTAAAAAAAATCCTCTGCAAAGTAATCAAACCCCCAATCCAGTAGAAATCATGGGTGTTTTCACTTACAAATCTGAGGTTATTACAGCAATCCCACCAGCCAAGATGTTTAAGGCTTGTATCCTTGATGGAGACAACCCATTCCCAAGGTTGTTCCTCGGGCTTTTAAGAGTGTCAAGTACGTTCAAGGCAACGGTGAGCCTGGTAGCATCAAGAAGGTCACCTTTGGGGAAGGTTACACCATTGATATTGCTTCTTACTTTGAATCATATATATGCATATATAGTTAGTTATAAGGGAAAAAAGGGTAAAAGTTGTGTTCTGAACATGCAGGAAGCCAATTCAAGTACATGAAACAGAAGGTCGAAGCATTAGACGAAGAAAATTTTGCGTATACTTACAGTGTGATCGAAGGCGATGCGCTGATGGACAAGCTCGAGAAAAATCACTTACGCGACGAAGCTAGAGGCCTCTCCAGATGGGGGATCCGTATGCAAGACTAGTAGTACATATTATACCATTGGTGACTTTGAGCTCAAGGAAGAGGGAATCAAGGCCGGAAAAGAGAAGGCATTGGGAATGTTCAAGGCCATTGAAGCCTATCTCCAGGCAAATCCAGATGCCTACTGAAATGAACATCAAGCAGCTGGCCTGTTGCGCTTCAAGTTTTTAGTTTTGCAGTTTGAGGTTCATATGAACTCAGACTGCTAATAAAGTGTCTAATTTGTTTACTGAATCTTGTTGTGTAAGTTATCCATTGAGAATAAACAGATCATTATCTTTCATTTTGAAGATTATAAAGAATCCAAATATATAAACTTACTCAGCAATTATTGAGTGGAATTTTATTTATTGAATCGAACAAAATAGCTTGAAAGCAAAGTGACAATCAATAGTAAGTTGCAAAGAATAATCTAATAGTCCAAGCACTTGAAGTCAAGGTTTTGCTTGCTTAAAATATTAGTCTATTAGATTCTCCAATTTTTTCTTTTATGGATTACAATGATGCTTTCTCTGCTAAAGTAAAAAGTTCAATTAACATCCATTGATGGTTACAGTGTTAAAATCTCCCTTTCTAGTATCATCTGCAAAAATTGTCAATCAAATCTCCCTTTCTAGTTTGATCATTTCCAATTATGGGTATTTTCACTTACGAATATGAGGTTATTACAGCAATCCCACCAGCCAAGATGTTCAAAGCTTGTATCCTTGATGGACAAAACCTTATCCCGAATATCGTTCCTGATTAGGCTTTTAAGAGTGTCGAGTTCATCCAAGGCGATGGTGAGACCGGTACCATCAAGAAGATTACCTTTGCAGAAGGCCAGTTCATTTATACAAACTTCGAATCATTTATATGTATAATATGGTGGAATGATGTGTTTCTCAACATGTAGGGAGCCGGTTCGATTATATGGTGGAAGAGGTAGAAGCATTAGACAAAGATGAGCTTGTGTAGTGTTACAGTGTGATTGAAGGGGGTGGTCTGATGAAAAAACTGGAGAAGATCACTTACAAATCTGTGTTCGAGGCGTCACTGGACGGGGGATCTGTTTGTAAGATCAGGTGTAGGTATCACACCATCGGTGACTTTGAGATCACAGAAGAAGGAACCAAGGCTGGCAAAGAAAAAGCCTTGGAAATACTCAAGGCTGTTGAAGCTCATCTCCTGGAAAATCCTTACCATTATTGAACATATCCCAATATTAATGTAAATTGCATCCTTTGTCAATCATATAATTAGATGTTGAATGCATTTTAGTTTATTATAGTTGATCTTCAAAATGAAAGATAATGATCTATATATTTATTCTCAATGGATATCTCACGCAACAAGATTCTGTAAATAAATTGGACTCTTTATTAGCAGTCTGAGTTCATATGAACAGCAAACTGCAAAACTAAAAACTTGAAGGCAAACAGGCCAACTGCTTGATGTTCATTTCAATGGATGCCATCTTAATACTAGAATTTTCAGTAGGCATCAGGATTTTCCTGGAGATAGGCTTCGATGGCCTTGAACATTCCCAATGCCTTTTCTTTGCCGGCCTTGATTCCCTCTTCCTTGAGCTCAAAGCCACCAATGGTATAATATGTACTACTAGTCTTGCATACGGATCCCCCATCTGGAGAGGCCTCTAGCTTCGTCGCGTAAGTGATTTTCTCGAGCTTGTCCATCAACGCATCGCCTTCGATCACACTGTAAGTATACGCAAAATTACCACAAAGAACAAATTATGATCTTGAAAAGCAATATATGTTGGAACTCAAGAAAGAATTGGAATGAAAAGAACTCTAATAGTATAATATTTTAAGCAAACAAGAATGCAAGTGCTTGGACTGTTAGATTGTTCTTGCAGGCGCAGCTTTTAGTTCGACTTTGTAATCATAATTATTCTAAGCTATTCGAATTTTTTCGGACACATATGTGGTTGGCACATTTATAGATTAATTGAAATAAAATGTTTAAAGTTAATTTTTATAAATCAGTTCATTTAAAATATCGAATAATTATATGTGTATTTTGTAATTCATGCTTTATTAAGTAATTCAAAAGTTAATTATATTGATGATATTGTATAACAATTATAAGGTACCAATTTTTTGACAAATTATAATCTAATTTTTAATCTTATTTAGAAGAAAAGGGAAGGGAGACTCTAAAAAAAAGAATGAGAGTGTTCTTAATGAGTCTAAAACCATGACCTAAGATATAAGAACAAAGATGAACAACTTGATCAAATGATCAAAAATGCTAGTTGAGATACTAACCTTTTAATTAGGCTAGTGACAAAGTTTATGTTTTTCACCTATTATAGGAAGTATATGACAGATTAGGGGTGAGCAAACTCGATTCGAGTCTGTCGCAACCGACTCTTCAGGGGAAAGGTCGACTAGTTGCAACGATGGGGTTTTTGAAATATTTTTGAAATGGTTCTAGGAAATTGGGAGTCGCCACCAACCATTTTAAGGTGTGTAGAATACCATAAAAACCAGGTAACTTAATAAAACAATATATTTTTATCAAAATATTAAGTTTGGGGTTTGCAAAAACCACAAAACGGGTTCAAGAGTCAGTTAGGCGTGAGAAATAATTAGCACCCCCACAGCACCCAGAAATTAGAACCTAGTTGATTACCTTATATTTAAAATCGAAAATTTGGAGTTCGAAGTTTTATTTAATTTAGAAATCACTATGGATGTAAAGTTGAAAATGGTGCTCGTATTAAAGCCAATATTCACCCCTTAGCATGAATGTGTGAGATAAATTATTGTGTCTAATAATTAGACATTGTCTCGAGATTTCAAAAATGAAGGGGTTTTTAAAAGGATGTCCATCTACTTTGGGAATTACCAACGGTCACCCCTTGAGCATAATGCGGAGGATACGACATTAACTCATCGGTAAATCACATTGCCTTGTTATTTTAAATTTAAATGCAAGCGAACAACTTTTTAATACTTAAATGCTAGTTGAATTAATTAAGACTTTCCCTAACCTGAAGTGTCAAATTATATAATTTAAAGAACTTAAAGATCTAAACCTAGAAATAGATACTCTACTATTAATCGTATTGATTTTAATTAATTATTGAATTGAATAATCAAGATGATCTCTTTAACATTTACAACTCAATTTTTTTTTCTAATTCAGTTTAATAGTTTTACTTCACTGATTTGACTGTGCTTCTTGACTATATATATATATATATATATATATATTATTCA